ACGCTGTAGTACAGATGCCAGGCCTGTGGACGGGCCCTAAAAGTCAGCCACGTAATGTAGTTTTTGTGGCTTCACCTAACCAGACTAGAATTGTTTCACAACGTTAACTGCACAAGCTTTATTCTGAAAGTATAACCAGCCCTTCACGTCCAGAAATGAGGAGATACAGTGTCATATTTAGAAATGGAGGGCATACATCTCTACAGTATACTGATCCATAAACAGAAGCTAATTATGCTGCAGGCAGTTTTTGTGCATTTGTGTTTCCACTGTATCTAAAGGTTGTGTATTGTTTTCCTTACGTGACAACTTAAATATGATTTCTCCAAAAGTCCTTCAAGGATTAAAAAAAAAAGCATGCTGAGGTGAGAATGTCCATTTTCAAAATGTTCTGTATTTTACAAACTTTAGGTTCATGCAGACAGATGCATAATTGCTTGCCAGCTGTTGTTTTCCACTCGTGTATTATTCCATGGTGAGCATGTCTTCCAGATTAATCCTTTGTATGTGCACGTACTTGGCAGAAAACTGATTCAGACTGTGAATTTCTTGGCTGACAGACAAATAACGGCTCGCAGCTTCCTCACACTGTACTAGCAGTCAGATTATTGACAGCAGCTCCTTCCTCTTTAGTTTCTGCTGTGCATCAAGTCAAAAAAAGCCACAGTGCCGCTATTGTCAGTTTATGCAGAAAAACAACAACTGCTCGCTTTCTGTGCTCTGAAATTAAATGAAATGCTGTGGAAGGACAAATTGTCTGCAAATTATCTTTTTTCAATGACTGAAAAAACAAAAGTTTTCAACCAAAACACCGACTGTTTCAATTTATTTCAGTAAATTGTAAAACTCAACCTGCGCAAATACAGAACACATTACAACTCAAGGCACACTTACAGGCTTTTCCTGAGCTTTCAGTGGCATCGCAGTCTTCTTCGGCAGATAAGAGTCTGCTCTGAAAAGGTCACATAAGGTCAAACTACTCTTTATACTGAGGTCCAAAATTTGCTTTCACACTCATTTTTAATATTTTACCAAAGTTATGTGGCACTTAGTTTAAATGTTATATATTATATTTACTGTATATATATATATATATATATGGAATTTAAAACTTAATATATCAGCAAACAACTATTCTCTATACAAAGACACAGAGTCACATGTCTCACTCCCTCTGCCTGTGTTGTATCTCAGCCTCTCTGTGGTTTGTTTCCATATCCAGTCTGCTCCGTGTGCAGTGGAGTAGAGCGACTGAAACTGCTGTTTTTATCATCTATGTCGCTGAATTAAGGTTTCATTTCGACTAAACCAGAGTTGGTGATGGTTGAAACAGTGGAATTTATTTTATTATTTTGTTTCTTTCCATTTTAAATGAAGTTATGCTGCTACAATAATAGGCAAGGTATAATTACATTTTTTTGTCTAGTGGAGAGTGATAGCAATATTACGGCTATTTCTGATTAAACAAAAAGTCTATCTGCAGGGATCCTTTCCATAACACAATGATACCTGTCAGTCCAATGACAAGGACTTTTGTCACCAATTATTAGGTTACATTGTCATCATGGTAGCCCATTTTACAAATATTGTGTCCTCTGTCAAGTAAGGGTCTATTTCGACCAGAGTTGGTGATTGTTGGAAAGTCTAAGAAAGACAGTTTTGGTGAGTTTTATTTTGTTTCTGTCAAGTTTGGTGTGTTTTATAATTTTCTCTAATGTAAAATTACTGGTTTTGTCAGTGGAATCTAGTTGGCTGTAGCAACCATTGTTTTGGTTTTCTATCAGGGCTGTCAGCAAACACACACAGTGCATTTCTTTATTTCAGACCTTGCTCAGACTAACAGGAACCTTAAACAACCTCTGTATGTGTCTGAAGCAACACTACACATGAACACATGACTGCAAGCTGGAGGCCACAGGGACAAACACAGAGCCACATTAATTTCTCATATTTACACAGTATTAACCACCCTGTCCCTGTGCTCAACTTCCGCTGTTCTACTCTTGTTGTTGGCAGTTGAGCTTTTCCCTACAGTGCAGCTGTATTTCCCAGGATGCCTCATGAGGATGGGCACAAAGCCTCTTTTCTTCTTTGTTATCTGCTGAGTGAAGGCAAGGGTTCAGCAGTAAACAGCAGCTGGAGACTGAATGACAAACAATGAGCAAGAGGGTCTGAGAGGACAGAAAAGGGTTTGTGGGACACTGAGTCTGTGCAGACAGTCTTCTCATGTCAGTGTGTGTCTCTGATGTGCTATTTTCTCTTGGCTTGGAGAGCACGTTCCAGAAGTCCTGGAATGTGAGTTTATTATAAGACAAGAGCTGGTGGCAGGAAGTGAGTTGTCTTCTGGTTTCCACATCTTTGAGCAGTCTTAGTCTGATAGAGATCCAGGAGATGGACAGAGTCAGAGACACAGCGAGGCATGGAGGTGTCACCACCTGTCCTCTCCTCTGACTGTGTGAACCCCACACTTCTCCTGTCTGAAGAACCTGATGCCGACCCGCACGTCACTGGCCAAGCCGCTGCTGACAGGCACTGTACTGCTGTAGGGCGCCCAACAAGTCCTCATAGGAGACGTTTCTGTGGGAGGGGAGCGAACTGAGGACACAGAGCAGGACACACATTTCAAACACAGCTGAACACATCACAAGTTAAACATCGCCATCTACTGTTCAAATAATGTTGCTTTTTTTTTTTTCTAACAATCAAAATGACAACTAATACAAAGAGCCAAAAAGGACAGAATCTTACATGAATTCAGTGAGTCTGATGTGCCAGGGGAGGAAGCCCAGTGTGCTGTCCACAGGACCAAACTTCACCACCAGCTCAGGGTCTGGAATATTCTTTGACTCTGAAACAAGCACACAGACAGGCAGCATGTCACCATCTATATGTCACCATCTATATGTCACCATCTAGATAGATACATAGATAGATAGATAGATAGATGGTAAATGGACCTGTACTTGTACTTGTATAGCACCTTTCTAGTCTTCCGACCACTCAAAGCGCTTTTACACTACATGCCACATTCACCCTTTCACACACATTC